TAATGTGAGTCAATTACCCTGGTGGTGGACTGGCTGGGAAAGTAGTGGTGTCCAAGACTATGCCCGAGAAACCGAGCTTGGTAGAGGGAGTTTGCTCGGTGACAGAGGGACCCCGAGTGTGGTAAAAAGGGGGCTTGTGTTGTGAATACTGCTGGGTGTTTTTTGATCCCGGTTTCATCGACATAAATCGTCCAGATAGTGGATAACTGATGGATACCTGATTATGTTTAGGCGCAGCCAGCAGAGGGTTTCTGCGAAGATGACAAATAACTTTGGGATGCTCATGGAGCTGAACGTGAACCTGGTTGAAAAAGTACTTATTTCTCCATTTAACACCGTGTAAGTGTCATAGTGTAGGGTGAATGGGTAGTTTAAAGGTGTTGGATTATGTCTGTCTTGCTTAACCATGCCTTACTACCTGTTGAAATAATAGCTTGCATGGCATCTTACGTTTTTTTGGCATATTGCAGTGAGAACTCCTCAGCGGGTATGAGAGAGTTGATGCTAGGAATGGAGAAAGAAAGTGGCGCAGATAGGTCTATAATGAAAAAAACGTTTTATTGGAGAATTTGTGAATGGCTACCCCGATGGGGTTGGTACGCAAATATGAGAATGATAAAGACAAGAAAGGGACGATCATGAAACGAGCCTTGATTACTGTGGACAGAAGGTGGTCCACCGTAAGTGGATCATTGGATGCAGGTAATAGGTTAGGGCATCGAGTGTACCTGTGGGGATGGCGATAAAGCCTGGGTGAAACCCCTGTGAAAAACCTGTCACCAGAAAATCTACCAGATGCCTAGCTGGGTGTGAATGCAGATAGTAATCCAGTATGTCCATGTTACCTCGGTTAGTCGTAACTTAGATGACAGTTGGGCCGAGCACATAGACTTGGTGTGAGCTCTGAAGCAAATAGAGCAGATGTGCAACAACCTGCACGCAGTGAAACTGCATGCCCCTGCATTAACGTTATTGCACATCTGCAACCTGCCCAGGAATGAAATGGTCTGCCCAGCTTGTCCGTCTGCCCACCTTCCTGTCTTGTGTGTGGGGTGGAGTGGTGAGAAGTGGAAGTGGACTTCCCACTTCACCGATGCGTGCCCTTGCAAGGGCACGCATCGGTGAAGTGGGAAGTGGAAGAACAGGAGGCTTAGGACGAGGGCCTTAAACCGGCAAAGTGACGGCAAGACATTTCTGTGTCCATCTGACACCAGTCATTTCTTATGTTGAACTGTGCCAGATGAGTAGCAGCCCTGGCCGATGGATGACTTATGATAGTCATGGAATGAGTACCCTCCGTACTTAATGCCTAAGTCAACTACCTTGTGCATGTACGAGTTGAGCTCTACCCTCCTATGTGGGTACCGTGCGGAATGTGAACCCTTGTGAACTAGTGCCTGGCCTGAGATTGTTGGCCTGTGCCGTCATGTATAATTCTTCCTTTCTAGAGGTAGCTGGAAAGGGTATACTCTTGAGACTGAGCTCTGCTGATATTTTGGAATAGCTCAATATCTCAGGGATCTGAGGGTAGAAGAGGGTGAGGGATTCCTCTGGAGACCAGGGCCTGACTGGCGTGTTGGGTATTTCATCCAATGGCAGATCGATGATTGGGATGGATTCTTGTGACATTCTCAAAATGGAACATTGATTTGGATAAGTAGGGTGTTATGAAGGTGGGGGATGAGACCTTCGGAGAACTGGCTTGCTAACTAGTGCCGAGGCGAAGAATTTAACTAGAACCAAGTGACAGGTGAGGCCCTGCTAGTGCCAAGTGGCACAACCTATGATTTTGGCCGAGGGGATTCATGGCTACTTGAATGTGGTGGCAGGATGTTGGCCTCTCGGTGACCGTAAGAGATTCAAAACGTGTGGCTGTGACTTGGGAAGCCCTAGCTGTAGCCCTAAAGAAGGGCGAGCGAGGTGGCTAACTATGATTTGGTCGTGGGGCTGAATCTTCGTGTTGAGGTGGGGTGTAGACCTTGCAGGACCGGTGTATTACTTAGGACAGCTAAGGCCAGCGCCTAACCCTAAATGCCAGTTCTCTAACCTGGGATTGTCTTCTTGAATGATGTACTTGAACGTATGTAGATACTAACCTTGAGTATTGGTCCTATTGCTTTGATACTGTAACGTAAGAACCCGTGTAAGATGAGGGACCTGAACATTGGTCTGTAATTAGAGACAAGCCCCTGGGTATCCACAATTGTGAATTTAAATGATAAGAAGGCCAAGTGAGGCCTTTAGGAGAAACATAATCATAGTGAGTAAGATTTAACAATACCTGATGCTGAAATACAGGATACCAGGTGGGCTGTTAGTTGTTGATGGCGTAGAACTTGGCGAGACTGCGGTATTGGCGCAGATCTAAGTAATGAAATGTAGAAACGAAAGACAAGCAATGTATCATTACAATTAGTAGTAGCAAAGTGGTGTTGGTTTAGGAGGTGATTGTCGTTGAAATCGTAGTGCAGGGTCTTTGCCGTAGCTCGATTTAGAAGTTTAGAACCCACCTGGAGTGGGGAGGGGGAGAGGGTGGAGGCTAAATGAGGCCGTGGAGGCTGGATGAGACCTCAGGGGAAGACAAAATCAACTGGAAAAAAAAACAACTGGTAAACCTTCTTATCTGATACAGTAATACAGGATACTGGGATTACACTTCCTGGAGACTGTTAGAAGGAAGTGTAGTAGAGCCTAAAAACATATGCATACTAAGTATAACGAACCAGTATATGAGGTTTTAGGAAACAGAGATTTGCAATGGACTGTAAGGAGCCTGGTGAAAAAATTAGGGGAAGTTAATACATTTATAATATGAGAGACTAAGTTCCAGCGGGTGTAAATAATGGTACTGAGTGGTGTATTTAGTATACCTTACTTATTTTGTGATTATGGCCTGACCGTGCCTTTAAAAAGATTTCCCCTGTGTAAAAATTAAGTGTCCCGTAAATTAATATGACCATCGCCGAGGAATAGTGAAAAACAGATGAAATATATATTCGCCAGTAGTAACTGATGAGCCATATGCTTAACACATTAAAATATAGGATTCTGGGAAAGTGAAAGGTGAGTTCTTTCGTTTAAACAAATGACATGATGAAATACATTAAACGACAGATTAGTGACTTTAGACATTGAAGCCTCCTGCGTTCGGCTAAACGAAGGAACAGAAAGGACTGTGAGCAGAAAAGAAAATACCTGCGGTCGGTTAATGGACCGCACAAAAGAATAAACGAAAGCCATGTACAAAGCGGTCGACTGTTTAATCATACGAATTAATAGATGAACGTGAGTATGTTAGATTGCAGTCGGCAGTTTAGTTATGCCAAAGAACAAAGCAAAGGTATGGATCAACAGCAAAAAACTAATTTGAGGTAGGCTGCACTTGATGGACGCAAGTCTCTTTTCAGCTATGTAACTATGTAACTATGTGTACTCTGTGGTTGGATGTTAGCCGCACGAACTGCAGAAATACACGAACGGATGAATATGCATGAACGGGTAAGTATTGTTATGGATCAAATCAAGTGTTTGATTATGTGACTATCTGCTCCTGTTCCAGTTTATTGAAATTGAGTGCGTGCACGCTTCCTAGAGTAATTTCAGACCGGACACAAGTTTCAGGTTCATGAAAAACTTCAGGAATGTTTAATCAGGGGGCGGGGAGCCCCTTATGAAGACAGAAATATGTCACATGCATAATTATAGATAACAGGGAAAATACATCAACAATTAGTCACACTTTAAGGAGTCTCATCTAATTCCATCCTACTGGGCGTGATGTCATTACTAACATGGAGCTCTCCTCCACCATCTTGTTACACAAGATAGTGGTTGATGGAGCAGTTACTGAACAAAGGAAGGGAGGGGTTAGAGGGGAAACAGCTACTGAACACAGGAGGGAAGGGGTAGGAGGAGAAGCAGTTACTCTAACAGCCAGGTTAACACAGTGAATAATGAGCACAGATGCACAGAGTAAATAGACATTTTACTAATTCTAATATTTTGTCCATAACAAAGGAGCCTATCTCTGCATTTTTAGGCCCGAACGTGGGAAATAGCTGAATGCTATTTCCCACGTTATGCTTACGTGGACATGCCGGTCTCGTAACAGAAGCCTGGTAGAGATGTCGGTAAGAAGCCGGTTGGCAGGCACGGAGGTCGGAGGCAGGAGAGCTGCTGGCGACTAGCTGCTGCTGGAGGCAGGAAATTTGGCGGGAACTACGGACCGGAAGTGCTGCGACAAACAGCTTGAACTTTAAAGGTGAGTAGGGGGGTAGGAGTTTATAAAGGGGACATAACTCCTCCCACAAATACAGGCCTAATGGCCTTTTAACATTTCATTATTTTTGACATGCATGAGAGTGAGCACTTCCCTTCAGTCCGCCGGCGGCCGGGAACAGGAAACAGAGGTTCCTGTCCCGCGTTCCGCGCCCCCCGGCCACGCTACATAGACAGGAGGGTAAGGACCACAGGGGGAGGGGAAGGATCACTGGGGAAGGACCACTGGGAGGGAAGGAACACTGGGAGGGGGAAGGACCACTGGGGAAAGGACCACTGGGAGGGGAGAAGGATCACTGGGGAAAGGACCACTGGAGGGAAAGGACCACTGGGAGGGGGAAGGACCACTGGGAGGGGAAGGATCACTGGGGAAAGGACCACTGGAAGGGAAGGACCACTGGGAGGGGGCAGAAGGATCACTGGGAAAGGACCACTGGGGGGAACCACTGGGAGGGCAGAAGGATCACTGGGGAAAGGACCACTGGGTGGGGAAAGGACCACTGGGAGAGGGAGAAGGATCACTGGGGGGGAAAGGACCACTGGGGAGGGAGAAGGACCACTGGGAGGAGAGGGAAGGATCACTGGGGGGGGGGATCACTGGGGAAAGGACCACTGGGGATGGGGAAAGGACCACTGGGGGATGAGGGGGAAAGGACCCACTGGGGATGAGGGGAGGCCACTGGGGAGGGAGGATGGGGAGTTAGGGCCACTGGGGAAGGGGAGTAAGGGCCACTGAGGGAGGAGGGGGGGTCCATTAAGGGGTTTGGAAGAGGGAGGCCCACCAAACCCCTTTGGTGGGCCTCCGGGCCTCCCTCTCCCAAACCCCTTAATGGACCCCCCCTCCTCCCTCAGTGGCCCTTACTCCCCTAAGTAGGGATGACCACTAAGGAGAGGGGGGGAGGGTAAGGACCACTAAGGGGGGGGGGAAATAGGATAATGACCACTGAGGGGAGGAGATTACCACTAAGGGGGTGGGGGAGGAGGGGAATGTCTACTAAGGGGTTTGGGAGAGGGAGGACCACTAAGGGGATGGATGGATGGAGGACCACTAAGGGGGAGAGGGGGGAGTGAGAAGACCACCAAGGGGGGATTACAGGGGGCCAAGGGAGAGCACTAAAGGACAGAAGGGGAGAACACGGAGGGACAGGAGGGAAGGGGAAATCAATAATTGACAGGAGGGGAGAGCACTATGAAAAAAATAGAGTTGCTCCCCTCTCAGTCCCTATCCTACCCCACAAACCTTCTCTTTTACACTACACACATACACAATGCATCCCCCCCCCTCACACACACAGAAACATACAATGCATTCCTACTCACACACAGACACACCCGAAACACACAATGCATCCCTTACGTTCACACAAACACTCATTCTCTTACACACAGAAACAAAATGCATCTCTTACACAATCAATGCACCCCTTACAGACACACACTGCATTCAATTAAATACACAGAAACACACCTTGCACCCCTTACACACACACACCCAGAAACATACAATGCATTCCTTACACTGCACATACACACACTACATCCCTTACAGAAATTGGTATCCCTATACACTACATTCTATAAGAACACACACACATTGCATCCTCTACAATAACACATAAAACATCCCCTACACTCATACACTCCACTTCCTGTGAGAGAACTCATGGGTGGGCCATGTAGCTGAATTTATGGGTGGGCATTGTAGGCATACTCACGGTCAAGCCCTGGGGGCCCAGACCTTGAGCTCTGTAAGGGGCCCTAAAATGGAGCTGCTTCCTGTTCGTTAATTGTTGTGAGCACTGTTACAAACAGTCTCCAGAGAGCCTTTTCTACACTAGACCTGTGGAGCCAGACTGAGTCCATCATCAGCCTCTTGTCCTCATCTGGTGGTAAGTAGGCAATCCAATATATTATTAGTGGTACTAATCTCTAATTTACCTCACATTAAATGGATACTATAGTCACCAGAAGCACTACAGCATAATGTAGTGGTTCTGGTGTCTATAGCATAGCCTGTGCCTGTAGGCTTTTTAATGTAAACACACTGTCTTTTCAGATAAAAGACACTTTGTGAAGACTGGCGTTCGCCCATATGGCAGAGCATATGGGCAGGGCATTGTGATGTCACATGATGGGCAGGACATATGGGGGGGCGGCCAAACATTTTTTTTGCCTAGGGCGGCAAAAATCCTTGCACCGGCCCTGCCAGCGTGGGTAGGAGAAGGCGAGACCCCAACCAAGTTGCGGTGGTTCGTGGGGTCTGCAGGGCTTATGGTGTCTAGTGAAGTGCTTGGAGCCCTCGGGAAGCAGTAGGAGCATCCGTCAACCGAGGTACCCAGTCGGAGTGCCAGGCGATCCGTTACAAGCACTATTAACCTAAAGAATTATTTTTTTGGGGAACTAAGCTATATGGGAACTAAGCTATATGTAAATAAGATGAAACTGATTAGGTAACATGATAGGAAAAACATTAATACCGCTGGGTACTAGAAAATAAAACATGAAGTGAAGCAGTGATAAGACATAAGGTTTACAAAATATACTGCGCAAACTCACTTTGTGTGTCAAAAAGGCAGAAAAAACACTTATTACCACTACACTTGGTACAAGCTAGCGGAAAAATGGTCCCACGCTAAGGTTCAAAATATGCCTTTTGAAATACCCTGGGATGTCTTTTTTTAAGAAATGATATGGCTTTATGGGGTATTTGGATTATATAGCCTGGTAAAATACTCTAAAATGGGACATGGGCACAGCGTAAAAATTTTAAGTTTGAAAAAAAATGGAATGGCTGTGTCCCAAACGTGCCCCTCCGATGTACACATATACCTGGCAAAGGTACAAACGGGGGTATTGCTGTACTCAGCCGACATAGCTGAGCAACATATGAAGTATTATACAGTGGTAGCACACATAAGGATTGGATTGCAAAATATACTGTGCAAACTCACTTTGTGTGTCAAAAAGGCAGAAAAAACGCTTATTAACACTACACAAATGATCCCACGCTAAGGTTCAAAATATACCTTTTGAAATACCCTGGGGTGCCTACTTTAAGAAATGGTAGGCCTTTGTGGGGTAGTTTGAATTTAAAATTTGCGAAGATTTCTTGGAAATTGCACATAGGCCCAGCGTCAAAATTCAAAGTTCCGTAAAAACTGATATGGCTTGGTCTCCTATATGGCACTGTAGCTTCACGAAATAGTGCCAAAGATATTCATTGAGGGTGTCTTTTTACTCAGAAGACTTAGCTGAGCATAATTTTGGGGGTTTGAACTTAGGGTCATATATACAGCTTATCCTTTTATACTTTTTCACATTGAAATTTGTCAGATTAGTTTGCTGTGTCTAGGCTGCCTTTGAGACCGCATGGCAGCCAAGAAATGAAAATTACCCCCCATCATGGCATACCATTTGAAAAAATAGATATCCCAGGGTATTCAAAATGGGGTATGCCCAGTCTTTTGTAGAAGCCACTGGGTCACAAACCCTAGCCAAATTTAGCATTTGTTTTTTTTTGTGTGCATATTTCACATAAAATCTGTACTTTCACTGATAATATTATTGTTAGTATATAGTTAACTGCCCTGAAATACTCCTAGTTCTGTTCAGTGATGTCTCACGAGCACCATGTTAATCCCATGTATAGGTTTTATGGGGTTTTGGAAAGTTACAGGGTCATATATATGGCTTACCCATTTATCCTTTTTTACATTGAAATTTGGCAAAGTGATTTTCTGGGGCTATATCGCATTTGAGAGAGCATGGCAGCCTGGGTAAAAACATTTCTACAATTATTATGGCATACCATTTTCAAAAGTAGGCAACCCAGAGTATAACAAATGGTGCATTTTAAGATGTTTGGTATAACCACTTTATCAGAAATGAAGGGCCCACTTAGCGGTTATAGTTTTATTTGTGCTTTTTCACACACATGCACTCCCTTTTCACAGGACATTTCACATTCCTGATATGAGTTATTGCAACAAAGCCTCACTATTTGTATTTAACATTGTCTCCTGAATGTAACAGTACTCCCATGTACTAGATTTTCTGTTTTTGGGGAAGTCACTGGGACAAAAATATTAGATGTCCTTTTCAAAGTTGGCAATTTGACAAAGTGATTTTCTGGGTCTATCTCGCCTTTGAGAGAGCATGGCAGCCTGGGTAATAACATTTCCACTATTATGGCATACCATTTTCAAACGTAGGCAACCCAGAGTATATGAAATGGTGCATTGTAAGATGTTTGGTCTAACCACTCTATCAGAAATGAAGGGCCCACATAGCGGTTATTGCTTTATTTGTGCTTTTTCACACACATGAACTCACTTTTCACAGGACATTTCATATTCCTGATATGGGTTATTGCAAGAAAGCCTCACTATTTGTATTTAAAATTGTCTCCTGAATGTAACAGTACCCCAATGTGTAACAGTGTAAGCATGCAGAAGCCAAACACAGAGAGATGGACACATGTATTCAGGAAGTAAGAGGCCTTTATTCACATTACCGATCGGGTCTCAGATGAACTCCTGTTCCAAAAAGATCTGAGGGACAAATACATGGTGTACAGAATTTTTGTTAACAGCATATCCCCTCCCATACAGTATAACCCCTCCTATATTCCTCAGACCAATCAGCACACAGGATATTCAGGATCACCTTATTTGGCAGACCACATGGCTTGTTGAAGACAAAGGATTTTACTATCCACTTCCACACATGCTCAGTACACTGATGACTCATCCAACTGTTTGTAATCAGATACTAATTAGCATATGCCATGTGGAGATTTTGGCATACTAAATTTTGACCATGCTGGAATCCCATCACATTCCCCCCTTTGATGCTTCTGATATAACATTATTCCAGATGCATCACTAATCGTAATCTACCAACACCCCTCAAGTAACCATGAACCAGTGCAGACCTTGTAATCATTCTAACTTAACTTTGTGCTCTCTCAACATTCCTCATCCCGATTATTCTCTCTGTGGGCTAGTGGTTCATACTTCCAGACAGCCATTACATGGGCAGCTGTCTCTCTTTCTATAGTGCTCTCTATAACACTACGTATAGATCTGACCACTAGTGGGAGTAGACAGGGCAGGAGGAAGCATAAGAAATATAATAAATTCTACTCCTCCTACTAGTGCCTTAATCCCTCCAAGCTGCTCATACCAACTTCCAAACCAACTACTTGGGTTATACCCACTCCAGACCTGAGTAAGTACATGCACAAGTTTAACCATGTGACTGGTAAGTTCAGCCACTGCCTGCCCTTCATCATCTATGTGCAGACAACAGTTACTTAGATTAAACTTCCCGCATACACCTCCTTCTACTGCTAGTAAGTAATCAAGGGCTAGCCTATTCTGGTATATGGCTGATCGCATCCGGGTATTCTGCTTTGCTAAGAGGTAGAGTGCTTGCGCTGTCTCATTGGTGATAATCTCAATTACCGCCTGTAGTCTTGTAATACGATTGAGCATATATATTGGAGTTCTATATCCATAAGTACCATCTTCTGCCCAAGTAGCAGGTCCATAATAATTAATAATACGTTGGGGAGGCCACTAATCATCTTCCCAGCTACCTATATTCAAAGATACTCGCTTCCTTTTTGATTTACATCATAAGCCTTAACTCCCAAGGTCTCTCCTGTTTCGATTGGCAACAAGAAGGATGGTTTGAGCATACCTAGCACACATGCCCCTTCCTAGTCTTGTGGTAACTCTAAATATGCCTTTTTACCACAAATCCAGTATAGATTTCCTATTGGATGTAGCAGATAAATCAAACCATACCTCTTTCAAATTAGTGTAATTGGCAAACGGATTAGTAGGTTCCGAGACATTTGAA